AGTATGTGATTTCTTTACTAGTTTGAACAGTGAAAACCGCAACTTAGAATCTAATTGTTTCTTGGTCACCTCAGCAACAACGCATTCCGGCTACCAAAAGTGTTCTTTTTTATTACAATAATTGTGATTGCATGTAAATACCGGCAATTTATGGCATTAACATTACCTTGCGAGCAGGGTTTTCTCTCGTACACCGCTTTTAGCGTTAACAAAGTCGTTCGCGTGGCTTGTCAGTCGCACTTTGGTTTGTTTTTTCGCCCCGGGAGAAACGTGAGAAACGCTTCTCTCGGGGCGTAAACAAATCAACTACTCGACAGACAAGCCACGCGAACGACTTTGAAAACGGTAAAAGCCATGTAATATAGAAACCTCTGCTCGCAGGATAACATGAAATTGAAAAATAAATTCAGGCCCCCTTGCAAGCGTCAAAAAGCTAAATGTCCCATCACGGTTACTATGGTCAATGGAGTATAGCACAGAAAAATGTTTCAACTGCTAGACAACGGAACTTTAGAGCCAAGCCGCTCCTGTAAAACAATCATAGAAAATACATTTCGACAAGCGGTTGCTTTTTCTGTGGATTAACTCTTTCCATTGAAGGGCAGAAATGAAATGTTTTATATAGTTCTAGGAATTGAGGTTTCTGTGTAACTGACCACCCACCCCTCCCTTAAGTCACAATTTTGCCACGTTAGAGAGAAGTAAGTGTTAACGGTTGACTTAGGGGAGGGGTAGTTCAGGTCAAAAACCTTTTGAGTGCAGAGGTCCACTCAACGCGTTACTAGCCGAAATATTGTCCCCAAATTAAATCAGCCCTTTGCCGTATTGCCAGCATGGCTTTAATTCCTAGTTCAGGTCACTAGTTCTGAACACTTAGTGTAGACAGATGAATAGCACTGATAACAGATCGATCAAAAATCATTAGCTGTCAGTGTTATTAACAAAGAATAACAAGAGTGTATAGATCTGCCAGGGGCACCAAACGCCAATTTTCGGGAAAATATCTGTTCGGAAGACGATTTGAGAACTAGAATTTTCGCAACATTTGTTGTAAAATTTCTTGCTTGCCTGCCTCTCCTAGGATTTTCGAACATCTACAAAATGGTATAATTACCCATTTTAAACGGATATTTACCCTAAAAAAGGTCACCTAGAATTTTCGGGAGCCTTTTCCTGGCTGAAATTTTCGAAAAGGGAAGTTTTGATCCCTATAATGTTCGGATCACTAGACTTTCAGCTAGCAAATCCGAACAGATGAAAAGTTTTTAGGGGATAAAAATATGCCTATATCTACCGTTTAAATACTAAAATACCTAAAATACGTTCAACAATGCTATGTTCAGTGGTTTTGAACTATATCCTCGTTGGGTGCCCCTGATCTGCTGGTAAGCACTGGTTGCCTTTTGTCTTGTTAGCCAAAGCTAACTGAAGATGTTTGCTACGTCGAACATCCGTTAGCTTCCCAGTATCTTTCAAGTTCCTAGAACGCGTAACCGGTTACTGGTGACCTCAGTCATAGCTCCATTGTTTCGAACTCTATTAATTGCCTTTATAGTTTTGTTTTCGGGAAAAAAGGAAATACCTGGTTACAGAACGACCACAAGCAGCTGCAAACCGTGTTTCCCATTTATTGTTAACAGGCTGTAATAGTACCTCGCTATATTAAGCCTTGTAAGAGGTGCCTGCATTGCGACCGAATCGAATGCACTGATCCTGTATAGGGATGAGGCAATAAAAACTTATGGATATTTGTTTACGGGGATTTAAAAAAACAGAGATCTTTCTTTCCATTGGAAGTGATGCCGTCAGTTCGTTAGATTAGTTTCCGGAAAGTTCATTGCGCAACGTGAAAAATACGTTTCTATCCCCAGTTAGCTATGCGTTTACTATTTCTCGAGAATAGCTCGTTAACTTTATTTACGACTTATTCAAGGTCTCGTGATGCTCTCATTGCCGACAAGAAAGAATAGCGCACCGTTGAAAACAGGGTATATATGTACATTTTTTTTAACGAGAATTATTTATCTTCGTTACTTTAAGAGTTGGCATTGTGCATAATTAATAATTCATAACTTATCCTTAAAAAGCGAAAGTTAAACTGCCGCCTTATAACTTAAGTCAGCACTTTCGGACCGGACCTCAGCGACCCTACCTCTTCTTGTGAATAATAAACCGTCCCCCCGAGGATGGGTAAGATTCACCCGTGGTTAATTTTTCAACAAAATCCTGGTATTTTTCGAGAATTTCCGAGAATTATTCTCGGGAGGTCCCTAGAAACGAGGTTGTCGAGCCGGCTCTGTTCTTTCGTTTAATTTCTTTGTAGTCACCTAGTTAAGTATTTCATTACATTACTGAATATCCATAAGTTCAGCCCTGATATCTGTTAGTTTAAAACTTGTTCCAAAAAAGATTAAGATGGAGCGTTCCGCAAAGCTTTCAGTAGGATTCTTTTCCTGTCAGGTGTAATTTACATTCGCGAGTCTGATTAAGATTAATATGGATACTCGGTTGTAACTTTCATTTTAATCGTCTGAATCGATGCAATCATATTTCTGATTTTTAGCCTGTTTCATGATCAGGCACCCATTTGAACAGAGGATGTATTCAAGCTCTGTCAGAAAACTATTAGTACCCACGCGCCCACGCAATTGATGTGGCTATCAACAGTCTAAAGATGATGTGACGATCATATAATCTAAGGTGACATGCCACGCGTCAGAGTTCACGGCATAGATTAGACGAGCTATTAATACTCCCTACGTTTGGCGGCTCTTCGCGCGTGGCAATTTCCCGCCCTTGACCTGTCGATTCTTGTAAAAACATTTCAGCCCTTACCCCACCTAACAAAGAATTGGCATGAAATAACGCCGAGAAATCAGTAAAACAAAAAATACAGGGAAAGCACCGGCTTACTATACCAAATAGTTTGCAAGAAACCTGCTTTGCTAACCACTCGGCTAATTTCCTTTATCTGGAAACCTCGTTAATACGGCAATCTCGCTTTTACGACCACGATTCCGTGGCCCAGCGGTAATTCATGGACAGGCTTCCACCTGAGATTTTTTAGCTGGGATGGCCGATTTTTCTAGAAGGTTAATCAGTTCAAGAAGCACTTTGCGTTCGCCTCGCGAGTGCCAGTCGATCGATTACTACACATCCATTTTCCAACGACACGAGACCGCAATGAATGTAAGAGTTGATAAGTTAGTTGAGGTTGAGTCAATCGAGCGACACGCGTTCCCTTCTTTTGAGGCTGAGACGAATAAGTGTTTGCTAACAGTAAACAGCATTTGGATGGAACATTACAGTAGATCAATGAAACACAGTATAACAATACCAGTAGCAAACAGAGACACGTGTGGTCATGAGCCAGTTCATACATTAGTGCATTTTAAAACAATGTTTGATACAATTGAAAAAAGGTATATTTATTATTATAAACGACAGAACTATTCAATTCGGGTTTTAAACTCGGAGCTTAGTGGCCAGTTATCAACTACGTGCAAGTTTATGCTGAAAGGGGCCTGTTTCAATATGTTGCAAGAATGGACAGCCACCGCTTATGAGTTATTGTGAGTTGCACTTACTGTAAGGGCGGCAGATGTATAAGATCCCCGGCTTAATTACACTATATGACCGTCCGAAGCGAAATTTATCATGGACAGAAGTCGTTTGTTGTTGTTCAGTGCGGAGTCCAAAGACGATTTTCCTCTTTTTCATTGTGTTGTTTCTGTCTGTAATTTTAAAAGGGTTGCATATTAGCCGAAACAATACTACCTGGAAAACACAAATTCACCGGTTTACTCCTTTTAGATCGAACCGGGTTAACGGCTGCACGAGCAAAAACAAAGGATATTAGAAGACAAAAAAGGTCTAATAATGTTCTCTAAATTAATTAGAACTGATTACAATCAGAGAACACTTAAGGTTCTTTTCTAAAACATAGTGCAGGTGAACTAGTGATATAAATTTAGCCAATGTTGAAAAGTGGATAATAAGAGCGATGCTAACCGATAATTTTAAGCATAAACGCTTAGGACGCGTGTCAGCCAAGCTAATAAATCAGTTTTGCTTCAAACAAAGGATATTTTTTGGTCACATAAAAGCTTTTGTTTGTAAAATGTCTTTATTCATAGCTGAACCAGGTGCTTTATTCTTCCTTTTCCTTTGAGATTTGTGTTCCTTTTGTGAGAAACTTTGGACGGTTAGATACTTGAATGAAAAGCGAAACAGAGAGGTTTAAGCTTGCTTTTACCTGCGCGCAAAATTTTCAGCCAAGAAGAAAATGTTCGGTAAATAAAAGCTCACTTCACACGCGTGCGCTATTGTAAAGGAGACGACTAAGCGCGTCGTTTTGGAAGCACAATTCAGCTCTAGAATAATTGCAAGCCACATGACATCGAGCTTTACCTACAGAGAAACAAGCGTAGACGTGTCCCTCACATTTTTGCCCGACTTCTCACTAACCTAGAACGGTTTCAGAACGACATAAGTGGCAACTGTAAATGGAAATTTTAAAACGTATGAGCCCACATATTTTTTCGGCCACTCGCAGATACACGTGCCTTGGAGTCCGCTCGAATGGTCACGTGTCTAGAGGTATTGTTTAGTCTGGCACGCGAACGGCTCGCGAGGCAGCTGCAAGAAAACAAACATATGTTTTGAGCAATATCGTGTATGGCACGCGCCTGCTTTTTTGTTGTTTTCAAACAAGTAATTCCTCGAGGGACGCGTAAACAAAACCCTCTGTTTCTTTGATTGCTCGAAATAATGCACTTACAATGTGTGAAATCAGCCTAAGGAAATTACGCTCTTTCAGTCGGAAACAATAGCCACGCAACGGTGAACACCCATTTCTGCTTGAACTACCGCTGGGATTGGCTGGGTATAAAACTGCGACTCCTGGCACTACCCATTCAGAAACGATTTGAACTCGACCTGAGCACGTCGCTGAAACCACAGAGCTGAACGCTTTTGCTGAGCTGAACAAGGCTGAAGACATGGAGGATTCCTCTAGGAACGGCTTTAAATATCTGTTCAAGATTTTAGTTATCGGAGACGTCGGCGTTGGAAAAACATCTTTGATTCGAAGATTTACCAAAGGTTACTTCGCCGAGAACATCACGTCAACGGTCGGCGTTGACTTGGACTCGAAAATTGTGAACATCCACGGCGACAGAGTCAAACTTCAGTGCTGGGACACAGCCGGACAGGAAAAATATCGCTCAATAACACAGAGTTATTACAGAAACGCCGATGCTGTCATCATGGTATTTGATCTTACAAACCAAGGATCTTTCGCCAGCATTCCAAAGTGGCTCATGGACGTACAGCGCTACACGAACAAGAACGCAGTCAAGGTTCTTGTAGGAAATAAAACGGACTTAAAGGGCGCCAAAAGAATGGTAAACTCTAGATCTGCAGCTAATCTCGCAGAATTCGAGGACTTGTTGTACATTGAAACGTCAGCGAAGTGGGACGACAACATTGAGACTTTGTTCACGGAATTAGCTGAGCAGCTGAGAGAGAATGCAAAGAGCAAGAGCTTGAATCGACTGAACAGCCCCAGCTGCGTTGTTACTAAGAAAAGCTACAGTATTGTGTCTTACATAAAGAGACTTGGGGAGAAACTTCCCATTCAAAGCCCAGCAAGCCTCTGTAGAATATGAACTTAAAATATCCGGCCCTGATTTATTTCATTCAGTGGCATGATCATAACTATAGATCGCCCATTATCAATTTTTTGAGTCTTCTTTTTCATGATGAATTATTCAAATTTGATACTTCCCACTGCGGAAATCACCCGAGATAGTGTTGATACAATTAGCGATGGAAAAAGTCAAAATAAGAATTTTTTTTGCTTGAAATCAAGCTCTATCGAATTTTCTTGAAAAATAAAGTTGGCATAATGTAATATAAAGGCGCAAGCTAAGAGAAGCACTCAATTGTATAAATGTATATTTTATAAGAGAAAATTATTATATTTGTAATATACCTCAAAGATATGTGAATATATAAATATATAGATATAGACTGTATGAAAATAAAAAGCTTTCAACCATCAACTAAAGTTGTTTTGTTATTCCTGGGTTAACGCTTTCACATTTAGCCGGTGGTGTATTGAACGGGTTTGAAAGCGACATGGTCATTGTTACAGTTTTTTCTTTTTCTTGTTCTCCTTGAATTGACCTTGAGAGGAACAATGCGAATTAATAGAAAACCGACTAAAAGCGATCCGTAAAATGAAAACTTTTTTTATTACGAGCTCAAATTTTAAACAGCGCTTTTTTGAGTTTGTTTTTACACTTCACTTCTAAGGGAATACAGAGAGAAAGTTGCATCTTTTATGCTCGGCACGTGGCAGCTAATATGAACGCCAACGTTTTTGTCTTACCATTATGTTAATCATGCCAAAAGAAGAAAAGAATGACAGCTTTACGTGCACACCAAGACAGTGCGTGAAAGCGGAAACTTTTATAACAATTAATTAAAGGCATAAGTTGCTTCAGTTAACAATCAGTTGACTGAAAGTTCGACTGAGTTATTTTCATGGTCAGAACTGATCACAAGTTGAAAGGAAGTCTGGAACGACTATTTGGAGGGGAAAGCAGCATGCATGCTCCTTACATCACCTTTTTTGGGTAAAAAGTTTCCGTTTTTACGGTTAACCGATTCTCAATAAGGTCAAATGAAATTCTTTTGTTCCCATGCAAATTTGTCTTCAAGTTGAAAATTTTATAAGATATTAGCATAATCAGTCGGTAAACAGCTTTCGGTTCACTGTTTACGACGAAAGAAGAGATTTGATTTGTAATAAGGTTAAGTAGATTCGGGAAGTTTTAAATCATTCATCGGAATTTCAGGCTCAGACAATCGTAAAAGGAGTGCTGCGTGGGTTTATGTGTTTTACGTCTTAGCTTCAATAACCTTCTTGCAATTGTAAGGTCTATATATTTTAGTTTCTTTTTATAAACCCTTGCGGCTATCAGAAAATAACATTCGCCTCAGGTGGTGGAAGACAATTTTCTTTGAATTAAGCATGGGTACTAATGACGACTTCGAAACGGCGTGCTAAAAACTTTGTTATACCGTTTTCTATCAGACTTCCTTAGAGAAGACGTTGAAGGTCAGCTCTACGGACTTCCACAATCAACGAACAGCTAATTCGAGATTTGAAGAACGTGCTATTCCGAGATCTGACGAACGTGCTATTCCGAGATCTTAGCATAAATCAGACCGCAATACGTTTTTCATATGTTAAGGAAAAATATTGTCATTTCACTCTGTCATCCATTTAAATAAATAATAACCAGAAACTTAAACGGTTTTGTACTTTGTTTTATAAATGAGTTCATGTCAAGTTTTTTTTTCTTGCAAGCAATAAATATTTATTACATACTAAGTGGGGGTTTAGATGACGAGTTACTAGTTATATTTCTTCTCGAATCTCAGAGAACCGTCTCGTAACATGAATTTCTTTTCCATCAATTCGACAATTATCCGACGTTTAAGCCACAGATATCGGCCCCGAGAGTCGTCACGTCTTCACTTCTGCGTATTTCGTGAAATCTTTCAGTGTGATTGTAGGGTCCACGTATGGACCGTCAAAAATTGCAAAGCCGGCTGTATTTCAAGCCGTCTTGCGGGGTATTGGGAAAAGTTTTCAATCAGCAATAACCGCGCCTCGGATGAACCTCACTGGCTACGGTAATGCCACTGCGCAAAGCTAATCTGTAACGGATTTCTAACATTTCTTTGAGTGGGTCAACCATGCCATCAATATGGTATCTTATCGCCTTTGTCGATCGAATCTTCATAGAAAAAATGCTCCTTCAAGTAAACATAGTTTTGAATCTTCACCTTTAATTTTAAAAACAATTTAAACTTATTAATAATAAATTACTATTTCCCATTTAGTTGGGAAATTTTCTACTATTTTGATATGTTTTTCATCAACTGCGGGTTGGACTACTACGCATGCGCAAACAATTGTAGATATTTGGATCGATTTAAGGCATATTCAGTCGCTTGTTCTGTGTGAAAGTTGTAATCATCAAAAATGGTTACAATTTTGCCAGAAAAACTTTAATTTTACAATCATATGCACGCCTGACAAGTGATTTTGTCGCATTGCCAGTGATCATTTCACTCTCGTTTACTAAAATGTCAAAATATTTGTAAACAATTTTCATGTAAGCGAATTTGCCCAACGAAATAACCTAAAACTAGATTTTGTTCTGTGGGTTGAATTCTTTGCCGACTTGTCCGAAAGAGTGGATTGCGTAATACTTTAAACCACGGGTGAAAAATACGCATGCTCATTTGCATGCAAATTGCCCTCAAATTCCCTACAACGGCTGCGTGACAAAGTCTTGGATCTTTCATTTTGCATTTTTTCTTTGTCGCTTCTAACTTCATTTTGAAATATAAATGCTATTCTGCTTCTTTAAAAGACATTAAAATAATAAATTGAAAACAAACGTGCCAAATCGCGGCAACTGAGCTGTATTGATCTTATCCCACAATGATAACAATATTTTGCTCATACTAACTAGAAAGAAGCATCACGTCGTGGTATCTGAATTGGTTATTGACTTTTAAATTTCTCCAGACCGGTGGTTTTGCCGCATGGCGAAACTGCCCCTTTACGGACAATAATTAATTGGTAAATTAGTCTGCGAAATGACGAGACGGAAGGCATAGAGCCGTTGAGGGATTCACCAATTGAAACGTGAAGGACTCTCTGAAGTATGGTAATTGTACTCTTATTTCTACTTTTTTACCGGTAGGAGCTCCAGATTTTTTTCCCCGCCCGCAACGTTTAAGGCCTTGCACCGAGGATTCTTTTTTTCCAAAATGACTTTGCTAATTTCGCTCTTGCCTTTCTGTTCGGACTGTTCTAGCAGGTCAATTGGCTTTTGCAGGTGCGGCTTAACTATAAGTTTTTGCGGCTATTTTTAATAGTAAACTATGTGTTCACTTCCCAAAAATCAAGTATAGTTGATCCACATCAACCAAAAGAGGTAATAAAAGTAGAACAGAACCTTTAACTGATAATACACGTTAAATGTCTGTTATGTTCTGGGGGACGGTCTCCTTTTATTGAGACATATTTGCATACAATTTTCATGGCAAAATTCCACATGATGCTTTCAGTTTTGTATACTGGTCGACCAAGGCAGAGTGAAAGTCGTTAACTCTGCCACTTCACTTTGCTTCCCCATGCACTCTTTTTATATAGAGAGAGAGGCTGAAATTTGCGAATTTTTAAAAATGTTTTAAGAATCAATCCAGGGCTGAGATTTTGAAAAGGACTAACTTTTCTGTGGTGAAATCTGTGAGTTCAGTACAATTTTATGTTTTTAACTTATAACCGTATACTTCCTTTCACTGAAGGGTACGTGACACAGACCTAAATAGACACTGGTAATTGAAACCCCATTACCGATATGTCATACATTTTAATGCGGAAATGTTATAAGCTATAATGTAAGAATAATTCAGGAATATTTTCAGCATAAAATGGTCTAAAATCGACAGAAAAACAAGAATATTCACACCTGGGCCGCAAAAAGAACGTTCTTATTTTAAAAAAAGAGTGTAACTGTAACCTACGTGTAGATTTTATGCTTAGGTTCAAGGTGTTATCAAAATGTATCATTTCATTTCAATTTCTCGGTTTAATTGCTTTCTAAGCCTTCATGAATGTTTTGTCGGTTAGTTTGGGTAAATACATATTCGTAATAATTTCGAAAACACTGTGATCTACGGTGCCGTTTCTGCTTTTGAGACGTTCTACTTTGATTTACAGTTTTAAACGTTATGGTTGATTAAACAAGCAACACAAACTGTACAATGCTAAGAATTCCATTGATTTATGCGTGTGCAAGTGGAACTTTAAACTTTCACGACACAATCCTTACTGTAAAACAAAAATATTTTTAAAAAAAAGTTTATTTTGTAAGTTAATCATTTATCACTATAGTTTCCTCATTGAACATTATCCCAGCTATAGAGATAATGGACACTAGAAAGTTGGTTCAAATTAGTATCTCGGATCTCTATTCCCAACCCCCCCCCCCTCCCGGGCAGACTACACTAAGATAAATTTTGGAAGTTGAGGGAAGGGAAAAGCAGGGGATTCTTGTTGCAGATCACAGGTTTGTTTTTCACGAGACTGTGCTATATAGAATATTTGTAATTCCTCTGTAATGCTGTACATTTTTTCCTTTAATTTTTGATTTGCAGAATTTTTGTTGTTGTTGTTGTTTTCGCATCCTCCCCTAATACCTTGAGAAGAGCATTCGGCATTCGATTCCTCACGTACGCAAATGTCTTGCTCACTTTGTTGTTCCATACCAGGGGTTCCATTGCCAGATCGATCTTTCATTTAACTTCAGACCGTTCCACGTAACCAAAACAAAAATATAATGCAAATGTATAAAGAATAATTTCAGCGCTGATTCCACGCATACGCAGTAGAGACTGATACCACAATGAGTAGAACGCTTTCCTCAAATTAAAAGTAGGTTGTAAAGCGTAAGGAACTTTGTATTGGTTTTTGACTTTTAAATTTCTCCAGAACGGTGGTTTTGCCTATAGCGGCGAAACTGCCCCAAAGTAAATGGTTAAACAGTAACTTACTAAGCAAGCCGTAGTCACCCACAAGGGAATTGAAAGCTTATAGCAGGTGCAGTCTTGAAAGAGGTATGGTACAACTAATGCAGTTAGGTTGTTGCAACTACAGTTACCTCGTTGTGAGATTTTAAATATACAAAGCCAGAAATAATTCCCGATATAATACTAGTAATAATAACGCGAATATTTATACAGGATAACCTATCAGTTCTAACAAAAAGAACTGTTATAATAAGGGTCCTGTAATTATCTCATAAACTAGGGTATCTAAAAGATAGTAATGCTGCGGCACATTTTGTTGATACTGGCATTAGTTAGGCAGCGAGACTTAAAAGAATCGAAAATGATATTGAATGTCCCATTTACATGTTGGAAAGTACTAGAATAATTACTATCAGTATAATTACTATAATTACTAATAATTACTATCAGTATACTATAGAAAGAACTCGTGGGAACGTTGTTTAGAAATGATCAAGTGGTTATAACTCTGGTTTTCCCACAGTAAATTGTAGGAAACAATAGAAATTCAGATTGTTTATCCATATATTTAATATACGGTGCACGATATTTTCTCTGGAAACACAATACTTTTCTTGCTGTTTGTTGCACTTTATTAAGTAACAGTTATTTAGCTATATATTTATAGAAAACAACTACACAAAAAACGGAAAAAAAAAGAAAGTAGGAACAAATAATTCGGTAGGACTCGAACCCGGCACCTTCGACTTGACGCGACTACACCTAACCACTACACCACACAGGCTGATTACGTAATCCCGGGGAAAAGTGTTTCATTTTATTCCTTTTCTATAAAACATCCGCCAGCAAGATGATCGCCAGCCGCATTAACCGAGCTATTAACAGTGAAAAAACAATGTAAACGCATATTCCGTGGCAATGAATGAATGAAAGAACATAATTATGCTTTTCAAAACGCCGATACACGTCCTGGTATGCAAAGTAGGACACAAAACATGTTTTGTTATCTCGATTTCCGCTGTTATTTTGAAGAGAATGGTCAAAATCACATCCATTTTCGGCTCACACAGTTTCTTAAGAATAGCATTGCATGACATTTTCTCACTTTCACATCACCTTCTAGCAAGCTGCAATTTGTTTATCCCCCGTGTTGCGGAGTCGAAGAGCAAATCATTGAACTGCTCATCTTCTCGTCAGGTTTAACACCTGGACGAGTCAAAGGCTCTTGAATTGAAATCCACTCCCCAAGTTAACCATCGTATTCATCTGAAAGACTCCTGCGTGTCTTAATATTTGGTAAGACCTCTAACCGTACTGTAGAACTAAGCAGCGAACGATGCACTACTTCCCCGTGTTTTTATTTGAGTTGTTCGTGGCGCAATGCACTCTGGTTAAATGCAATGCATTGTGGTAAAAAGTGTGGTTAAATGCAATGCATTGTGGTAAAAAGTGATGAATTCGAGAATTCGTTGCCCCTTATATATTTCCTTTAAATCCTGATTATGTTGCTGCTCGCTCCCTTCGGTCGCTCCGCAGCAATAACTAAACAATAAAATAAAACTAAGAAATCTAAGATTCAAAAATCAAAATCTGTAAAAAAAATGTTGACTTATAAGACTGAAAAGGGTTGTGAATTATGGAATACTACTGAAAAAACTCTTTTAAATTACTCTTTAAAAGAAACCTATAATTTAATTTTCTTAGACAGCTGAGTAATATTCTGGGGAAAATTACCGAAATAAGTGGAAAAAGCATGATTGAGCAAGTAAATTTGAGAATATGAGGAACTGGTTTTACCAGTTAATTAAAGATTCTCCGTGGAGCTGAAAGTCCGGGATGAGCAGCTAAAGGAGTGAGATTTGAAAGGCGTTGAAACCGTTTTACGGCTGATGATAAGTACAATCGAAGTTCTCGTAAGCGATCTACCTCGGAAATTCGAAAAAATGGTCGTAACTAGAGTTTGTCGCTTACAAGAGTGGTCGCAAAAAGAGCTTCGACTTTAATTACCTTCTCGATAATTGGCGGTAAAAATAACCTTTTTTGACGGTTGATGTCAAATTTTGAGGTCGTTTGACGGCTGACGGGTAACCCCATGTTTAACTCTAACTCGAGACGAGCTGTAGGGAGAACGCTGGGAACAAGGTTGCTGTAAAGCAGGAAATGACGTTAATCCGCGCACCAACGGTTTGCGGCGTGCACTGATATAAATGCCACGTTTTTTGGCGCCACAACGTTTCATTTTTTTCAAAACTTTTATGTTTTTGCTTTTCGGAATAAAAAGAAAAATCGAAGCAAATGAGAGAGAAGGGGAATTCAATAGTAATTGCTCCTGTTTCTATTAGCTTATTTTGAACTTGACCGCGAAAAACGCTGAACTTGAATTCCTTTCACTTTGAAGAAACTCAGTGACGAAGAGAAACGAGCTATTAATTTATTCAATCACAATGCGTGAGCCAAACTAACAAAATATTGTACACTGCAGCAAGAAAGCTACCAACATAAGCTGCGGCAAGCAACTGTTTTACGGCTTATCCTGTTCTTCAGGTGAACTATGAAAGCTTAAGTGACATCTCTGTCTTTTCTTTTTCTTTCTTTTTCTGACGTTTCATTAAAAGGTTGTAAGCATAAGCAAGAGAACACAAAGGTCGACCTTTATGTTCTTTTTGCTGTAAGTGCATGTTACAAATTTAATGCAGTGTTTATGGCAGTCAAAGCCAACTAAACCGTCCCAAAACTGCTGATGGATGCGATCAGAAAACGCATGCGGCAAAGAATAGCACTAAGTATGTCCCAAAACTGTAGCCTGCGAACAGACTCCCAAGTGGAGCGGGGCCTCGAGCTGAGCGCAGCCTGGGGGAGAAAAACATTCTCGTCCCCAGAGCCTCACGTTCCCTTAGCCGGCGAGGCTAAGGGAACAGGGGGCTCTGGGGACGAGAATGAGCAAAAAGGCGTCCCCACCTTTTTTTTCCCGGCCCAGGCCAAGCTCAGTTCGCTTCGCTCGCCGATTTTCTTTTACGCCCCTCTCTGCCTGTGCGCCTGTTCACAGGCTATAAAACTGACAAAACTAAAGCTGTTGCAGGAATCAATTCAGTTTTCCGCCTGGGTTGACTTACCGTAGCTCTCCTTTCTGTATCTCGACCAATGCTAGTGAACCACCTCCGCGTTGAACCATCATCAACATTCCACTTGGCTGGTTTGTCCGAAACCACATCTTAAATTCTTTACTTTCTCCTTCGTTGTTTACATCAGCTATGCGATAAACCTGGAATCCGTCGCCTTTGAAGCTTACCTCTCCATGTGTACCCTTAAGAGCCAGAGCCATTGTTAGAAAAATAAGCAGTTTGTCAATACTGTTTTGCCCAAATGTAAGTCTCAAGCGACCCACCATATCCAAGGCTTAGTAGATATTTCTTCAAAAATAAATTATATAGCAGAGATTACACAGTCACAGTCTTGGTATTAATGTCCTCGATCTTTGATATGAAAAAGATATGTCAACAGCCTCTTAATCGAACCGTCTTTCCATACTGCGCATATAGTTTAATTAGAACGTTCAAGCGCATTTTAATCTTAACGTTATTCCGGTTTCCATTTCACATTTACGGTAAATTATTTTAAGAGCAGACAATTAAGCAAATAATCATCTCTTAGAAAACTGACAGTGAGGTGTTAACAAACCAGATGTAAACATTTATTATTGCAAAAACAAGCACTTACATTAATCTTCCCTTTCTTTAATTAAGGATTTTATCGCCAAACGAGCCAGGCAACATCACCTACATAATGTTAGTAAATAAAATGTTTTAATTATATTTTATCTTTTTTTTTTTTTGCTCTAAAGGCTCTAGGCTAATGCATTACCATCGACCATCTACATTCCGAAAAACAAAAGCTAATAATTTATCATTCAGAGACAGAAGCTTGAGCTTTTCGTAAGCTATTAATTTTGAAAATTTCAAGCTAAGCTTCTATAGGTGTTAACAAATTAGAATCTCCACCTCATTTGTAATATACACCTGTCTGTCAGTACCTTTATTGGTTTGTGGTCTTATCATACTCGAACAGTAGTATTATCGTTGATAAAAGTATCTGTGACTCGTTAGCTCGGAAATTTGACTTGATCATTTACTGAAAGCTTATTATCGTAAATTGCTCAAGTTTTTTTCAATTTTAGAGTTTAATTTGATGATTTGGTCGCTGACGTATCACCTCGTTATTTTCATGATCTGCATTTTCAGAGTTACAAATAAAAGTATTTTATTGACACGATTGTCGTTTTTAGGCCTATAGTCAGCTGTATAGTGCACATAAGCAACTACAGTCCTTGAATGAATACAGTATTGAGGAGTATGTAGTAGCGGTACACTCTTTTTATGCAAATTGTTTGTTTTTAGCTCAGGCTGAATATTTGTATTTTTTTTGGCCAGTTTTAGACTGAAAATATTCTTTTATTATTCTTAAATTATCATTTCTTACATTTTCCTTTTAGAATGTATTAGGGTATAAATTACAGTTAGTACAAGTTTTTCCGTTCTGTTGCCTAGTTTTGCCGTTTAGGCAAAGAAACAATTTTATGTGGTTAGGTTGAAACAAGTATTAGTTATATAAATTGTATGGCAGATTTTCAACACACAAAATTATATCCTTTTCAAAATCTCGGTCTTAGGGATTTATTATTAAAATATTCTTTGAATTTCAGCCTTGATGTCTCACAAAATATCATTTCTTACGAAACAAAAATTGTATTCCAGTAGCTAAAATTCAGATAAAAGAATAACAATCTTCCGTGCATTATTTCAGAACGGAAGACCAAACCCAGCACACACAGCTTAAAAGAGGAGAGGCCGGCAAAGGCAACCAATTATGCAAAGACTTGTCACTAATTAAAGATGTTAACAGAAGATGAAGGAAGTCGGAAGTTGGAAACGTTTACTACAAGAATTAATTGCAAATATAAATGTGTTATGCAAACAGAAGATTAAGAACTGATATCTTTTTTTTTTTTATAGAGGCCTGGTAGAATCTCTCAGTCCCGGCTCTCGCACATCGATTCGCCAGTGTAATACGATTTAATAGCGTTCAACAAGTCGGACCAGCTTGCAATTAAATGTACCGGGGCTCGTGGATCAGTGGGAAACGGCTTGTGAATGTTAATTAAGGTAACACCAGCCAAAAATAAACTAATCACTGACTCGTAGTGTCAAGGGCGAGTAATCGCCCGCAAGCAATTTGCAATTGGTTTGTTTGGTTGAGAAATTGACGCAAAACTGAGTATAGAGATTTTGAATCATGGTTTCGTCAGTGAAGTTGCCTTCTTTTTAGCCAGCCCCTTTTAAGGATTTATCAATTCAGATTGTTTGGTGTGATTTTCGTGGTAACCGGAGTAAAAGTCTGAAAAGAAAAAATATTCATACAGTAGCTTGTCTGCTACACTGATCCTAGTTCTTCTCATTTTCCTCGCAGTTTTGATTTCTTTTCTCTAAAATAGCGTCCGCTTTAGTCGCAGAACAGTGGAACGAAAAGTATCTCTTTAGTCTTTAACTCGTAACGGTTCGTACTCGTCTTCGTCAACATAAAATTATCTCGAATTTGAACCGCGACAAATCATCTAGGAAACCGGGCCAGCGCGGTCAACAGGGCTCATGTGAAGTGGCCCTTAGAAGACCACTACGAAGGCTCGAATGCTGTATACCACTCCGGTGAAGGAAATATTTTCATGATAACGGAATGAATTTCATTCTGGGACGAGTTCATTCCATCCCCATATATTTCTCTGTATTTACTTCCATGATACAGAAAAGACAGTTCATTGCCTTTCAAGTCATGCATTTTGGAATGATTTTATTCCGGTGTTTCAATCCGATTGAAATTCTCGTTCTGGTATTAAGTTTCACTAGTTCTGGCTTTAAGTAAATTGAAAACGAAATTCGTGTCGAAATGAGAGCTCGCAAACCGTGTGGTCCAGAAGAACGGCGCATGCATATCTGGCGCGAAACCTAAGTCAACGAAAAAAGCCTTCCTAGGCTAACCCGCTCGATTTTATCAAGTGAATGCAGCACTAATTTTATTCTAGAACGAAACCCATACCGAAATGAAAGGCCATTCCAGTATTATGCACGTAAAACAGCCCATATTACGTAAATCATGTCACTTTTATCAGAAGGGTATCCATTTTAATCAAACTTAATTAAACAATACTAGGCCGTACCTTTATAAAACGTTTTAACAAATTTTTTCTCTTGAGTCATGTACTGTACTTAACGTCACCTCTTTAACAATATAACAGTGTCTTTAAAGTTTAGACTGTGGTGTTTATAATGGAATAGTACTTTATTAAAATCTACTTTTTATTTTTACCAGCTCAATATATTTATCTACTTTCTTTTGAAAATTTGTTCCAATAACGACAAAAAAAGGCTAATCTGGAAAGACAGAGTTTTCCACCGTTTTAAATTCATAATAATTGTAAAAATTCAGTATAAGTTTAGAATTTCTTCAGCTGGGCAGCAATGATATAAAAGCTATAGTTCTGTTTCATATTTCTGTGCACGCGAATGCTTGAGCGGCATAGCACAAGCGGGCGTCTTATAGCGCTCTTTAATCTGATTTTCTTGACCATTTGGATACTGCTGCTGCTGCTGCCGCGGCTGCTTAGTATGATGAAAAGTATTAGAAACGCCACTACAGCGACTTTCTAAGAGACAATTGCCTCTGCTTGGAATATCTCGACTAGCTTGGTTCGAGGACAGCAGTGATTCTTCTTCGCTCTTTTGGCGGGAAAATAGGTGCGAACGTGGCGAGCTATGCCTGTGCATGTTTTTCTTGAGATACTTGCCATCGGATACATTTTGCAGCTCAGCTTGCTTTTGGCGTCGGTGGCTAAAACCATTGTCATATAAAAGTTGTTCATCGTAACTGCAGTTGCCATTTAAATTCGCTACATTTAATGGCTGTCTTAGAGTACCGCTCTCTAGACTATCCACATCTAACGAAAGGTAGTTATCATGGGGGTCGGAGGAAGTCAAACTACCTTTGTCTCTCGCTGATTTGTAAGCGTTCTCTTCGGACGATTCTTTGCTGAAGCTTTTCACATCAATCTCTTCGTTGCAAGGAGAGATGTCTGGAGAGTTTTCAATCGTTGAGCTTATGTCAGAAATAGAAGCTGTAGAATCGCTATTTGAATCTCCTAATTGTTTGTCTTCTGTTAACAGTGGCTGGTTACACTGTACGTCAGCTCTGCATTGCGCCACTTCCTGACAGCGTTTAGTAGGGTTAGTAGTGTTTTTGTTTTTGTCGCTGTAGGTGGCAGTGACGTCAGCGGCAGTTAGGACGTCATATAAGACCTCCTTAAGTTTCAGAATTTGCTGCTCCGTGCTGAATTGTTTACAGCCAGGAAAAGGTACAAGGTCAATGAGCCCGAGATCAATATCTTCAAAATCCTTCCGCTTTTCCGATTTTTCTTTTTCCATGTCCGCGTTTTCCGAGTTCCAAGTGGAGCTGCCATTGCTAATATCTAACCTATCAGTCTCGGCGTCACTGTAAATCTCTAAAGAAGGTGAATCGCGGCCATCGTGAGATACAATATGGTAATTTCTTGCCGGATAAGGGCTTGCTTCAAGCTGCAGGATCTCGGGTTCGGCAGGACTTGGCGGGCGAAGCTCGATGGTATCTGAATTGGGTACCTCATGACAAAACGGCACTTTTAGACACTTGCAAGGATAAAACAAGTTCTGTTTCACAATAAGCAAAAGGATTGCAATAACGAACACGGCTAAAATAACGCTAAGTATGATAAGCACAAGTTGTTGGTTGGCGTTTTCGCGAATGGTTATGTATCTCCTAGTTGCCTCTATGACAATTACGTGTGGTTGAAGACTTTCTTGGGTGTGTGTTGTCGACCTCTTCTGAGGTTCTGTGGTTGCAGCGCTGTCGTGCAGCGTGCCTGCCAAGTTAGAGGTAACTGTACTGACCTGAATGTTGTTAGTATGACCTTTTCTACCAGACGTTCCAGTGGATGAAGTGCTTGGAGACTTTGCTGTTTGCTTGGTCGATTCTAGGGTTGTTGGATTAGGTGTGGTGAAACTGCCATTTGGTGCAAAGTCGGTCGTGGTTGTTCTAATAGTAGTTGAGCCGTAACATTCAAGACTTCCTAAAATGTAGTAAGATTTCGCGCTAGTTCCATCTACGCTAAATAACAACTTTTTTACCGGTAGGTGTCGCAAATTTGTTAGATATCCATCATCCGTATGCCACTTATTGTCAGTGGTGTCGCAATTGCACACCTTGTTTCTTTCGACGCACGTTCCATTCATTCCGCATGCGCACTTCATACTCCCTTCAGACGAACCTGACCAGTAATCCTGCAATTGTCCGTCACGTGATACCCAGCGTGCTCCTCTGCCCGACTTAAGATGGAAAGTTTTAGGCGAATCAAAAATTACTGAGTTATAGCATTTGTACTGAAGATATTGCCTACAATGCGTGCTGCTTGATATTAGGTCCCTAATGTTTTGGTCATTAGAATTCTCATAGATGATTTCGTGCTGATAATATTTACCGTCACGATTGTTTCGAGCTGCAATAACTTTATTTCTATGTCGGGTATGAAAAATCACTGTTGAAGGACCTCTTATGTTTGTCATATTGCAATAGACTGCAAAAGGCTCTGAATGTCGTGCATTTATTCTGTAATATGCATTAGTCCTTTTACCCGCAGCATACCAATCAGCACATGACTGCATAAAAAACGCCGGCTTCTCGCATTTTGCACCCGTAAAATCAGTTCCTGAGCAGTCGCAAACGCTTTGGTTCCATTGCTGAGAGCACCTACCACGGTTTCTACAAGGGTTAGGAACACAGAGGTCTGGAAGCGAACACTCATTCCTGCATACTTGGGTTCGGCATAAATTTCGCAAACTGATATTCTGTCCCTGTACGATAAGATCACGCATACATCCGACAAAACCATTCTTCCCCCATTCATTGCCTCCGGCAAATACCTCGGAACTAGTTACAAAGGAACCATCACAGTCAGCAGATGACTCTTTATTATCCACAGTAAGCGTGACTCTTTTTGCGCTAATATCAACAATCACAGAATGCCACATTCCATCATCAAGCCCGGCCAATACACTTCGAAGTGGAACCGATTTACCTTCAAGTGCGAATTCCAGTTTGACTCTACCAGAATCTAGGGACAGTAGTATGTTAGCGCCGTTTCTTACCGTTGCTCGCTGATGTAACAAGATTCCTTGCCCGATGTACGTGCGGAACTTGACGCTATAGGAAGCAGTGTTCATTACTGGAACATTCAGCTTGATGAAGGATTTGGGTCTTTTAAAAGTTATTGGATTATATCCCTTAGAGGCTATGTTACAGCCAGGAGTTAGTTTTCCAGAAACAGATGCATTTCCCTTTCTTGCCAAATCGAGCAGGTTTATACCATTAATCTTAACGTGTTGGTTATCCAGGCACCCTTCAAATGGAACATAGGGAAGAATCTCTCTTAAATACCAGTGTCTTTTTCTTCTCTGAATAAGGTCAACACCTCCAACGTAGAAAGTCTGATGCGCAAAACGCCTGGAATAAAACCCAGGTATTTCGATGAGCTTTTTGTCGACATCCACGTAGAGAGTGAGCGTGCTGCCGTTTGCCTCCGTTTGCTTTATTTCTACTTGGTGCTCACTATTGTCTGCCAGGTCCGTTTGTCCAATGACATAGCCGGTGGTCACGTTTCGCATGTTCCCCGCAAAGAGGGAATACCTGGAGGATGAACAAAACAAAACGTTTAGGCCCGCATACATAAACAAACTTATAGGGCATGCAAAAGAATGTATAGTACCGTATTTACTCGATTAAACGCCGCCCTCGATCGAACGTCGCAGTCGCATAAACGCAGCATCCAATCAGAAGAATGTGGTGTTAATTGGTGAGAAATTTCGTACAACTTAGTAATGTACACAATTCAGGCACTACGATTCTATCCTTACTTTATTCGACAAATCATAGTTGACAACAAAATGGGGAGACAAACGTTTCCTTGCGTTTGAAAATTCTGACGTTTTTCCACGACCTGTAAGTCACGGTAAGTCTAAGAAGGAGTGTCTGAGTGTGAGCATAAACAATTGAAAATTGTATTCGTTTTATTAAATGGCGGTTTGCGAGTGCAAACCGTCCTTTTCTCGGGCTTATTGTCTCGAGGCTAATAAGCATGCAAACGCTCCTTGTCCTGACTTGCGTGTTTAATCAGTATCCTAATTCGAATTCGGATACAGAAAAAATATCGTCCTGCGTTTACGTTCGGCCCTTTGAGAAAGCAAAATTTGCTCATTACTCGTCATAGTTAAGCAGGGACGTCAAAGAAATTTGCAGAAAAGCGCTGGACTTGCAGAGATATTGTTTTGCTTCATATTAAGAGCTATTGTTCCTTGAAGTTCTCACAAGTCGTGGTTTCGGGTTCCTAATGACGGTGACTCGTCGTTGTATACTTTCCGAGAGGGCCCTAAAACGTATATCAGACTGAGAAATCAGTGACATAAAAGTTCTTTAGGAAGAAAGCAACAATCAAGGTCAGACGCAATTCACTTCAGTCTATTTCCTGTGTATTTCCCAAGCATAAATAATATATTTGAAGAAATCAATCGAATCAAACTCTTATTAAACAAACAGAAAATTAAAGCAAAACTGATTCTGTTCACGTAAACCGATATCTGAAGTACTGAAATGGTGTTTGCAGCTGAATGGATCATTAACCGACTCTGCCAGATTTGGGAAATTCACTATGGACATGAGCCGGTTTAGGCATAAGCAAAAACCTAAGCAAAACCGCATAAACTAAAACAATTTGATGAGCCTTGCGTTTGCCCCCGCTACCACTGTTGTTATAGACCCTGCTCCTTAGGGGTTCTTTAGTACTGAATTAGGTTGGTGTGTGCTACTGGGTATAGGAAGAAACCATGTTCATTTGTATTTTGGTCAGTACCCTATTTTAGACTTGAAATCAAATATCCATTCCCTATACCAGATTTAATATTAACGAGAATCTATAATTCCTCAAAGATACCTTATTCTGGAATAAAACTCTCTGTTTTTAACTCTTTTTGTTTATACCATCTACCCTCAAAGACGGCGGAGGCACAAAGCCACTCAGGTTCTATTATTCATGACGATACTTCCCAGGCTGTAGAAGTCTGTTTTGAACAAGCTTAAAATTTGGTGCTTCTTGCATGGCAAGAAGAAAAAACAGGCAGAACGTTAAAGCAAAATTGGTCTACGACCGAGTTTCGTTTTTCTTATTGCAAGTATCCAATAGAAGCAATAATCATAGATTAATACCATCAAGGCTATATGTCTAAAGAAATCTGGAAACCAAAATCAAGAAATCGTGTTCTTGTACGAGGTAATAAAAGCTTAGTCGCGTTGAAAAATTTTTGTTTTTAATAGTGCTTGCAGTTTAAGGATATAGTAATCAGCACAAAAACAGCCGGCGTTCTGTGTGCTGTCTAAATTCGGCTGATCTAGTATTCAAATTCTAGTCTGTGTTTATTCACATCATGAACGTGAATACAACATAAAGTGAGAACGAATCTGTTATGATCTACCAATTATTACGCGTTCGATCAAATGAATAGATATCGCAGTGTACAGGTACGTAAGTGTACCATCCGTGACTAAGACGTTTCCCACAGCAAAAAACACCTTCTCTTTTCAGTCAGACTTTTCAAAAAAAGTTTATTTTTTTATTGTAACATTACTCGATGACTTACATTTCAGGAACAGGACACTCCATATGAATATTTCATGACGAGTCCACCGAAATGAGCATGCGCAAATCTTCGGAGACGCAGGTGCAAACGATGGATTTCTTCGAGAGCACACAATAAACTTTTCTCTGTAATTAGCTTCCTACTGAATCTGTTCCTACAACAATGCCTGTGGGTCGACTACGGCGTTTTGTAACTACGGGCCAACTATGCACGGCTTGTTCAATGAGCTGATCGGCGAAAGTAACGGAATGAAGGAGGAAAAACCTTATTATAGCTGGATAACTCTCAGAGGGGCGTCCTTGACCCAAAAGCCGCAAAAAACAAATTACGAGAGTTACTATTCAGAAGTTTTTGATTTTGCAGCTTACACATAATCGCAAATAAAGTAAACGGAAATCTTAAACATCAAATGAATTTCGATTTTACGACCAAATAATCAAAAGTAATGAAAATAATTCTCCTTCCGACAAAACCGTCAAACATTGGAACAGTGCAACGCGCGGTATCCTCGATAGAATTTCAAAACCACTCTCCTTAGACTAAATTTTATAAGAATGTTAAGGGTCTGAGCTTCCTACAAACACGGAGAGATCATGCAGGGCTCACTAACAATTTAAATGTAGTTCGAACCCATTAAAAAGGAAGATTGATCGATCACGGATGCATTCTCATTTTTTTAAAACTGATATAGTCTACCGGTTTTTGGTAGGGAGGAGTAATAGAATTTTAAACTAAACATTTTTATCCTTTTTCATCTAAATAATTTCAATTTTTGAAATTACACTTTTCCCAGCAGAAGTCTGCACAAATTCAACCAGATATTAAAAAATAATTATAGCGTAATATAAAATTAAGTCTCTTGCTCGGCACCAAAAAAAAAACTGAAAGAATAGTTTCCTTGACAAATAGCTTGGACAGCCGAGAACCCTTCCAGACGATATCGTCTTCGTTTTCTTCTCTCTTTAACAAAAACGCGCTCGAATGAAATAAAACAATTATTCGCCTCTGACAGGAGGTGTGTCAGGCTTTCCGAGAACGGTTATTGGCAAAAATGTCGTTGCTTGTTTTTTTTTTTTTGAAAAAGAGGAATCAAAATCGCACTTCACAGCGAACATATGCTTAGATGTAAACTAAGATAAAGAAGCAAAAACTATCCTAAGACGCTCACCTGATTTTGCCTCGCAGGAGCTCCAGTGTTATGAAGTCGCCTTCGCGGCTTGCAGCGTGAAAAAGTATTCCAGAAGCTTTAATCGTCTTGAAAACGATGACGATATCGTCTGGAAGGGTTCTCGGCTGTCCATTGTAAGAGTAGGTCACGTACGTTGCACCGTCAAAGTTCGTGAACACTTCTCCCTGTCCGCACGAAGAAATCACCACAAGAAATAACCAACAGAACGACGATGCGAAGGTAAACATTTTGCGCGGGTGCCTTCCGAAAATCCAACCCAGCTCCTCTTTGCAGTGAACATCCACATCAACAGCTGCTCCGTGGCTGTGTCTAAATTTCGAGCCTTCCTGCCTCCCGACCTCGCATCCTTATTTATATCATCGAGCAGCTTTTCAACGTCCGCGCATAATCGGTCTCCTTTGATTGTTAAGACCGGACCAGCATGTTTTCGGGCTAGAAAAGAAAAGAGAAATTATACGGTTCAGTTGTAACAAAGCATATTGTACGTTTAATCTCGCCCAGTTACAAAGAGAAGAACACTGTTCCATTTGTCTATTTCAAATTTAATTATCCCAGTTAGCCGATTTATTGATCTATCCAAAAGCTCAGGCAGCGCTGAGAGCTATTGACAATTACCATATTCACTGGGCTCGGCTCAGAAGGCGGCGAGTTTACCACTGTAAAAGAATGCACCACAACAGGGACTAAAACAGATTACAAGTTGTGATAAGTTCTCTTTTGGGTATTTTGTCCACCTTTCTCTAAAGCTGACGTTTTGTGAATGAATAATTACCAAATCAATCGGCCAGAAGGACAGGGATTGTAGGCATTCTGGATGCTAATTGGACTAGAATACCCAGTAATTGTCACATTCGAAAACAAGTGTGTGTTTTTTGATACACGTATATCCGTCCAAAATCTTCAGCGAGGAGACCTAATATCTGGGCTATGACAGCCAAGGGAAATATTGAAACAATTCATCAAACAAGGTCCAAACAACGAACAGGAATACTCTTTTCGTTTATTTTACTAATTATCCAGCCTACAATGTTTCTTGTTAATTTTTCAGGGTATATAGAAGAGAATCGATCCATCCGTCGCTGTTGTGTTCGGCGTTGTTGCCAAATATGCACTTAAAACACAGACACACAAAGACAGAATCTATTTCTGTCATTGGTTTAAAAACAAAATAAAAGAACTTGCTATGTCCATTGTTTCTATGTGTTGAAAATTTTCTATTGCCTAGAGGAGTTTCTCAGTTCTTACTTGACGATTAATTAAAATGAATCCCGTTTCTAACCGAGAAATGCGGTATCATATTGAAAAGTGAATATGCTTGTAAAGTTAAAATCTCCACCACTGGGAATAAATCCCGCAAGTTTGTAGTGGCTTAAAAGAATATTAGAAAACTGTAAAGACAAAAAGAATTTTTTCGACAACTTGGTTATCTCGTGGTCTTTGAATCTCGGAGTTGATGTTAATTTTAGTGGACCGTTTGTCTAGTTATAACTGAAGTAACCCACTGGGTATCAACCAGATAATTTAAAACAAATTCCAGTTTCTGGAGCGACAGGTGACAGAGCCCCGTCCAATATTTTGACATTCTTGTTTCATCTTCTCTTAGTAATTAAGAAACTACTTTTATTTACCCAAGCGATTCATGGCCTACCAATTAAATCGTTTTTAAGGTATTTTGGAACAATGCCTTAATAACCCATCTCTGTCAGCGTAATAACATTATTCAATAGCGACTCGGGCTTAATTGTCTTGCCCTTCGTTATTCGATTTATGCGCGTCTCAATGAAAAAATTACTTTTGCAAGAAATTGACATGCAAACTTATTCCACTGATCGGGGTAGCGGTCAACTGCTAATAACTTGCGCTTTAAGTAATGGCGGACAGATGAATTTGGGTACGTGTTAGTTTGTCCGCAACCTGCTCCGACATTAAAAATTTATCCCTCACCACGTGGGTACATAAAACTTGCGAAATACGCTGGTATGTGGTCTGCAACTCCCGGATCAAGGGGACAAGGCTGAACAATCCATGATAAAAGAAGATTACGTGCTCTTAATTGTATTTCGAGTGTTTTTGCCACGTGCCACCTTTATTGTACTCATTGAGCGTTCGAGGGTCTTCTATCTAAACAGTCCATTGTCGAGTCAAACAATGAAGAAAGCTTAGTGAATTTGTGGTTCCACTGTTCAGATCACCAAATCGTACATCACCTTAGTTTGCATTCGATGACATTGGCCTTATTCTGGTTCATTCACCTGTATGTATCTTAACGAGCGGGCTCCTTTTCCGTCGACTTTACAATGCCAAGTCTAGTACTATCGAATGAAATATCGGCGATACAGTTCCTCGTATTTAAATGAAAAAGTATTCATGATTTTTCACATTACACTTTATATTGTCGTGAATTTAATCTCGAAGGCTTCACACGCAAAAAAGGTTCTCCTCTCCGAGATTTCATGGGACTTAATGACAGTTGAAAAAAGCTCAAGCAAGAAATCTAAAGTACAAATCTAAATCCTTCCTACAACGCAACGTCTCGACTCAAACTTTTGTCCTGGAGTTTTGTCATCCTGTTGACGTTATCAGGGGACAAGCACTGAAAATATCAAGGATTTAGGGCATGGCTGTAAGGCGTATTCAGTTGTTTATACTAAGTAAAATGACCTCCCGCACGGGACCACGTAAACTATGAATCACGTTGCTGAATGTTTATATATAACTTTATACTTATTTCACTTTTTGAAGATTGTTTATCAGCTAAGATTAATTGTCGTAATAATAGTAACATTCTGAGGTTTGGATTAGCCTTGTCGCTGTATAGAAGCAAAAATACCATTTGTCCTTGTTTCAGTACTCCTGAACAGTCAACAGTTACGCCTTGACTAACCCTATTTTTAAAAAATGCTTTTCTTTGAAAATAAAAAAAAGAAAAATTAGAATACAGCACAAATGGGGAAGGGGGGTTAATTCAACAAAAATTGGCCACATGGTGAGGAGACACGACCCTCGCGTGCCAAATATTTTCACAGAGATAAGGTTGCCAAAAGCCGTTCTCACGTTGGCGTCGGCGAGGATCATATTTGAAAGCCTTGGAGATAACGGAAGCCTTTCTGTTGAGTTTTAGGGAAAAAAATACTTTGTCGAAAGAATTCTGGGCCCATACTACAATCATTGAAATTGATCAGATTCTTATCAGGCAATGGAAACCATACTGTATGCTTTGGGAAACAAGAGCAGATTAAATGGACATTGAAATTTTTATTCTGTGTGTAGATGAATTAAGAGATAGGATTCTGGCGAGCAAGGTAGTATCTTTTCATAATCCATAAGCAAACATATACATTTCAGTGTACGGCATTAAAAATTTGATTTCTTGCCGACTGGTTTTAGCGTAAAGGATAATTAATCTTCTTGTCAGTGATAAATTGTTTCGTGGTGCCCAGTCTGAAGTACTGTTTTGTCTCCTGATCATGTTTAAAATGCTGAGAAAGAAAACGGTCCTTTGAAAAAAATGCTTCGACTAGAGACCAAGTGCACCAATGCGTACTGAAAATGAAAGAGCAACAATAAAATGAATCGAAAGTTACGTTTAAAATTGCGAAAGAAAATAGCACCGTGAAATGAAATGTTAGCCCTAACCGGTTGATCAGAACTGGCGTTACCATCGATGAAGCTGACTTTAATTTCAAAAACTCTTTAAAAGAAAAGCAATTTTCTTAGTAGTACAACTGAAGTAGTAATCTTATGAAGGCTGAAGGCCGAGCAAAAACTAATAATAAGTTTATAGTAAATGCATAGTATAGAGGCGTTACGAAAGTCGGAATGACAACAACTGCAAAGCACTTGATTGAACTCGATGAATTAAAAGCTATTAGATCATTCGTAATCGGCCTAAACAGCAAGAAAGAGCTAGTCCTACAAAAGAGACAAAGGAAAAAATGAAAGCGCCAAATATCTTTTAAATTGCATGCGCATTACAGCGACGTACGAATAGACAAAAGATAGTCAAAAGAGAAAATTGAACTAAAAGCACCTGTTTTCGCACGAACACCAAAATTCAAGGTCACTGACTTACCGGAACATGAGCGAAACTTCTTGGTACGAGGAAAAGAGAAAGACAACATCAGCTTTCCAAACGGGGTAGTTAAAAGGGGCTTTGCATAGCGCACAAACTTTTCTCTGTTCTTTATAATCAGAAAGCAGAAGGCGACGCAATGTCTTCGAGATCACTTATTGCCAATTAAAGTAGTTCATAATTTACCACTATGATTTTTCCGTGGTCACCTGGCGTTCGATAGGCTATAGTGCCAAGTATCTTGTCACCCAAGAGGCGTCCCCATTTAACAAGTAGCTTATTTCCAATCTGATTCCCTGATTATATGCTTGCAAATGACTGAGAAGTAAGGAATCTTTCAGTTAACACCAAGCCGGAGTAGCTCGCCTTCTAAAGAGATTTCAAGCTGTTCAAAAGAGATCAAGATCTGTTAGAACGTTGTGAAACTCTGTAATTGAGAGTTAGCGGTTACAAAGTGCGTGGGCAAAAATTGAACTATCGGCTTGGGGTTCATTTAGTTGTTTGAGACTACCTACGCTGAGTATTCGGAGATCTCCAAAGACGAAATTTTCAGTTCGGAGCGAGCGCTTGGACAGAAGAGTGTGGATCGACCACCTGTACTAAAACGCGAACTATTTTCAGTATGGAGCGTTTATGGATTAGAGAGACAAGAAGTCTCTCTCTAAGTGTCAGCAATTACACGAATTAATGGTGAATTGCTCTGACTAAAAGCGTAGGCCAAGAAAAGGGACGGTCGTGTTTAGACATTGGAACCAATGTGTTTATATAAGATGTCAAGTTTTGATCTATGCATATAGATAGTCTGTAGTGCTTGCATGTCGTGAGTTTGGCAAATGACTGATTTTATTTTAGAATTCTTAAATCATTGAAACAATAAAAAACATTGCCTAGAAAATATATTTTAACTTGAGCATTGTTCGTCAACTTGTACCTGTAGAGTGGAATAGTTACTTCGTTAATGTATTCGCTCCTATAATCTTCTTTTGTCTTATTTCAAATTAACGTATATGTAGTACTTACAGTCTTCCTATTCATGACTTTACATTCTCCTATTTCGATTATTTGTTTTATTCCGAATTTAGGTATGGCCTCATGTTAGAGAATCCAGACAGTCTCGGATTCTGGAATCCACACTGGTTTAAGTCTAGCCTTCCCACAGACGGGAGAAATGAATGCGTGACGAACGTACCCCAAAGAACGTCTGCGGAGAGGAGGGGGGTGAATAGGGTATGCAAATCCGCCGATCCAACTTAATTTTTGTTCAAATCCGAATCCGTGTTACTTTAAACATTTTTCGTGGTATATAGAAAGTAGCGTTGTAGCATGAAAAAACGAATTAATTAATATAGTTGTTCTGTAATCGCAACAGACGCGGGACTTCATGTTTAAAAAGTTTTCATTACAGCTTCAAAACATTAAGCATTAGGGACAGAGCTTATAATGTTTCTTCCAACGATACAGATTTGACTGATCAAATAGTCTGCAAGCTTGCAAAATGAAAGTATCTGGTATTGCGTAGAAGATTTTTCAAAAAATGTACTTCCTGACATCACTTTGGACATGCTTCTAGTCGAGCCCGCAAAATTTGGAAGAGGCAGAACTCAACTTCATGGTAATTTGCTTACCAGTAAGTATTTTCCATGGTTCATCTTGGAAGTCTTGACACCATAATCTTTTTCACATAAACATGTTCCC